GACGAGCTCTAGCAAACCTCCAGCCCAGGATATTGGTGCCCCTCCAGTTCAGGTGCAACCTGTTCCTCTTGTACAGGTCCCACGTTCCCAAGAAGACATCCCAATGATCCATATCTCTAAAGCTCTCCCTCCTACACCAGCTCTGTAGCCACGTGTTCAACTGCACCCTCTCTCTCTGTTCCTAGCCTGGCTAGCTGGTGGCACAGGTAGTAATCCTGAGATATTTACACTGGTAGTCCTGCTTTTTAGCTCCCTACCTAACTCCCTGAACTATCTTCGCAGGACCTCTTCCTTCTTCCTACCTATGTCATTTGTGCCAATGTGGACAATGACTCGTCTCTGTTTTCCTGCCCGTTTCAGGATGTCCTGTACCAACTCAGAGACATCTGGGACCCTGGCACCAGGGAGGCAACACACCGTCCTAGAGTCTCGTTCACGCCCACAGAAACGCCTGTCTGTGCCCCTGACTATCAAGTCACCTACGACTATCGCTCACCTAGGCTTTGCCCCACCCTGCTCTACAGCAGAACCAGTTGTGGTGCCACAGGTCTGGCTACTGCTAGTACAATCTCCTGAGAGGCTATTCCCACACCCCCACCCAACAGTATACAGAACGGTGCACCTGTTTGAAAGGGGGAATAGCCACAGCAGTCCCATGAACTACCTGCCTGCCTCTCCTGGCAGTCACCCACCTATCTGCCTGGACCCATGGTGTGACCACCTCCCTAAAGCTAGTGTCTATCGCTTTCTGTGCCCCCTGTATACACCGCAGGGTGTCCAGCTACTTCTCCAACTGAACCAGGCGGTCTGTGAGGAGCTGCACTTGGTCACACTTCCCACAGATGTAGATTTCAGGGACACTGGACGGCTCTCTGATTTCCCACATCTGACAGGAGGATCATACCACCACCCTAACTGCCAGGTCTGCCCTTGTTCACTTAAAAAAAAAGAATCTGACCTTGCCTCAACGCGACACAGTGCTTTTCCTTCTCTTTTTCTGCTTCAATTGAATTCTTTCTCACGATTATCAACGCCAGAGAATGTAGAGAACTGTGGGTGTTGGAAATCCGAAACAACAACAGCAGAAATTGCTGGAGAAACTCCAGGACCCGAAATGTTAACTCTGCTTTCCCTCCACAGTTGCCACCAGACCTGACGAGAGTCTCCAACAATTTCTGCCATTGTTCCAGAGAATATGTTTCGGTCCTATTCAGTCTGACCTCATCGAGCAATCCCTTCATCCAAGAATCCAGTGAACCCTTCTTGCACTCTCTCGAAGACAATGTCTATACTTCATTGGTTGAGGAGATCAAAGGTGTTTTACTATTGTTTTATGAGATGTGGGTACACTGCCAAGGGAAGAATTTGTTGCCCATCCCTAATTGCCTTTGAACTGAGTGGCTTACTAAGCCTTTCCAGAATGGCCTAATTCTACTCCTATATCTGGATGGTTTTTTGGTCTTATTTTCCCACCTAACTTTGCATCATCTGCCAACTCAGATAAATTACAGGTGTTCCCCATGTTGTGAAGTTGGGTAGAGTGCTTGTGGATTGGGAGACAGGAAGTTATAATTTGGAGTTTGTAAAATATATTTCCAAGTCAGGATGGTGAATGACTTGGAGGGGAATTTGCAGGCGGGTGGTGTTCCCCTGTAACTGTTACCCTTGTCCTTCTAGATGGAAGTGGTCACTACTTCGGAAAACAGTGTCGAAAGAACTTTAACAATTTGCTGCAGTGCATCTTGTAGATGGTACACACTGCTGCGACTGAGTATCGGTGGTGGAGGGAGTGGGATGTTTAAGGTGGTGCCAATCAAGCAAATAGTATCAGGTTTCTTGCTTGTTGCTAAAATATATTCAGCTAAACAGAAAGACTAAAATGAAAACTGCGTGTCCGATCTGAAGTGTACCACCCTCCAAATTGGATGCCTGTTACTCAACCCTGAAGATACTAAGTCTTTATCGCTTCTGAAATAAGTGGCATGGTGTAGGTTGGATGGTCCCTGTCTGCAGGTTACCCTCAGAGAAACCAGCCCATGGGATCATGGGGTCACTGGGAAAAGAGGAGCAAAGGGACTAATTGAGGTGCTCATTCTGAGAGCCGGGGTAGACATGGGATCACCCTGCAACTTAGAAACTAAGTTGGGCAAAGCAGACTTAATGGGCTGAATGGCCTACCCCGTTCCTATTTCTTATATTTTTAGTTTCTGATCTCTTCTTCTGCTGCGCTCTTATTGATATTACTTCTAGTTCTTAACCTAATCTGAGGTAACTCATTGACCACAAATCTTCTCAAAAACCTTGATCATTGACTACTTTCTCCCATTTTTCTGATTTTTATGTGGTTTCTCCCTAAATTCTATCATCGCATTCCTTCTGCTCTTTGCCTTTACCATTTCTGTCAATCCGCAGTTCTCTACATCGGGTCCATCAACATTCTAAGTTGGATTCCATCATTAATCAATGCTGACCTCCCCTTCCCGAACACAGTTGTATTCTACATATTTCTGTCTTTGGCTGCCTCCTTTGTTCCAGATTTTAGAAGCATTACATCATCATAGAACAGCTACAGCTTAAGAGGAGATCATTTGACCCATCATTTCTACCCCACCTCTCAGAATGAGCATCTCAATTAGCCCAATCGCTCCTCCTGTTCCTGATAACTTCGTAATTTGTTCAGCTTCACTAATCATTCACTCATGATTGTATGTACTCCCCCCCATTCTCTCTGGCAGACTTCTCTACATCCTAACCATTGGCTAGGTGCAAGTTTTCTCCTTGCATTGGCTCTTGACATCTACCACCATCAACCTCTTGTTGTCAACTCTTGCGAGTTTGGAAAGGAAAATGTTTGAGGAATCATGAACCCATTTTAAGTGCGGTGATCATAATGAGGTCAGCCAGCTGGACCTCATAGAATATGAGTTCCCTAATTGGGGCTGTTAATCTGGTCCAATCAGGGAGCCCAGATTGACAGATAAAAAGGGTGAGTGTGTGGGATGAAGCAATCCTATAGTCAAGAACTGTTTATGCATAAATAAAGAGTAACTTGGTGATGGGATATCGTCCTCAGTGGAATTATTTCATTCAGGAGGACAAGAATGATGCCGGGAGATCATTAAAGATGGAGACTGAGTATTTTAACAGCTTAACTCCTGGGTTTCAGGAAGCAGGAAACATGCCAAGGTCTGATCCCTACATAGAGTCATACAGCACGGAAACAGACCCTTCAGTCCAACCAGTGCATGCCGACAATAAACCCAAATTAAACTAGTCCCACCTGCCTGCTCCTGGACCATATCTCCCCAAACCTTCCCTATTCACGTACTTATCCAAATGTCTTTTATGCTGTAATTGTACTCGCATCTATCACTTCCTCAGGAAGTTCATTCCACAGGCGAACCAATCTCTGTTTAAATTACTCCTCGTGTCTTTTTAAAATCTCTCTCTTCTCACCTTTAAATTGTACCCCCTAGTCTTGAAATCCCCCATCCAAGGGAAAAGATAACTACCACAAACTGTATCTATACTTCTCATTATTTTATAAACCTCTTTAAGGTTGCGTCTCAACTTGGCCACCTCGGTGAAAAATGTCCCAGCCTATCCAGCCTTTCTTTATAACTTAAACCTTCCATACCTGGCAACATCCTGGTAAAACTATTCTGAATCCTCTCCAGCTTAATAATATCCTTCCTATACCTGGACATCTGTGTTAAAAAGAAATCTCCTCAATCTTGGGATGTGAGTGGCATCAGCAAGGTTTGTCTTTCTCCTGAGCTATTACTAAGAGTTTGATAGCACTGAGCAACTTGCTATGCCTCTGTTTGGAAGGTAGTTATGGGTCAGCCACATTGGGATGGGGACTGCAGTCTAATCGTTCCAATTCTACTGGCTCTGAATTGATTTGATGAATCACTGACTGAGCCAGCTCACAGGACCTTGGCCAGGAGACGGGAGATACCTCTCGGCCTCTGGCCCAGCTTCAAGTTGTCACTAGTGCGCGCTTACAGGAGCTGAAAGATAGCATCTCCCGCACTGCAGCACTCTCTCAGTACTGCACCAAGCATCGATGCTAAGTCCCCGAACAAGGGGCAGGGGGAGAGGGCGGGTGGTCTCGAACCCACAAATACTTGGCCGTCAACGAGGACGGCCAACAATTAAATCATGCTGCAGGAAAGTCCCTGACATGTAGCAGCGGAATACTGTACTGCAGTCATGTTGCACATTATAAATTATAATTGTACAGTTGGTGCCAGCTCATAATGCAAACTATTTTCATTCACAAGGTGTGCCAACTGGCCAGCACCAGTGGAATGGTTTGAATTCCCACATTCTTTTCAATGGTGTTAGCACAGGAAAAAATATGGACAATTTCTTTTCATAGCACCTTTAAAGGCAATATTTAAAAGCTTCTCTCTACTTACTTCAAGGCCCCTTAAAAGGAGATATTAGTCCCATCGGCATTTAATCCACTCCTAAATTTATCATCTGCACCACGGCCAAATGAAACCTAAATTGATCTTGTGAGAATGCAGGGATCCCATATCATCTACATGATACTTGCAAAAGGGCCTACCTTCCTGTCCAAATACCTGGGACTAATTAAACTTCTCAACGCTTGCTTAAAGAAAGCAACTGCTGCAATTTTCGTCAATTGCTTCACCAATTCTACGACAGAGGATATGGACGTCAGGAGAAATCACATGGGCAGCTAAGCTGTGGGTCCAGACTCTTGGGGGAGAGGGATTGCGGATAAGGGCGCCTTTGTAGGAGAGCTGAGACCTTAGTCTCGCTAATTTGGAGACAACATGAGGTGACAAAACAGGAGGCACCTGCGTCTCTTACACAGTTACATAGCTTCACATCGAGTTTCTCGGGCAACCGGCTTGAGATATTAATAGTGCAACTTTGATTAGGCAAAGTAAATGTGATACTGTCTCGTTTCTGACTATCTGATCCTTCAGGAGCAGAAAAGGGATAACTTCCTAAAATAGAGCAGGAGCCGAGTACATAAGGGTTGGGGCTGCTTTCTCCAGTTACCCATTCTTTATTCCTCAGCCACCTCCTAATTCCTGCAGCCCTTCCGCCAACGCGTGTACACCACTTTAAGGTAAGTCCCTGACCTGGAGCTTCGCTCCGGAAACGAGAAAGAAGAAGTGGGGAAGGATGGAGCAAAAGATTCTCAGAGAGATCACTCAGAATGCTTAAGGTGGAGAGGGGAATGGAGTGGGAGGAAAGCGAAACCACTTAAATAAAATCTTAACGAAAAGGACTTTTCAGAATGCATCGAAGGGAAAAAACAGTAGGAGAGAGCAGTGGTGGGGGACAATAATGGAGAGAACAGCAAATGAGAGGAAAACATACAATCAGGAGGAGAAAGTGGAATACAATACATCGAATTGAAGTATGAATTTCTGAAATTTTCTTAATAAAAATATTCAAAAGGCAATTTAACAGAATAAAATAACAACCGAAAGAGCTGCGGATGCCATAAATCAGAAATAAAAACAGAAATCGCTGGAAAAGCTCAGCAGGTTTGGCAGCATCTGTGGAGAGAAATCAGAGTTAACGTTTCGGGTCCAGTGACGCTGCCTCGGAAAGTGAAATCAATTCAAAGGGAAGCCGGCTTTTAATGAAAGGCGAAGAGATTTTCTTTGAAATTATGGATAGTCCATCAGAAATTTAGAATATTGATAAGGATCACTAACAATTTAAATCTGGAGTTTTATTTTAGCTTTGCAAGTTAATGAATGAAAGCCTAATTCCATCACCCTGCAGCTGAAGAATAATATTTGGGAGTTGGGGAATTTCAAAGCAACTCGTTATACCATTTGAGAATTTGCATGAAAATTCAAACAGGGAGCGAACAGGCTTTTTTGAATATTGAAGTCACTTCTATTTATTAATTCAGTAACTTGTATTGTGTGTGATTGTGCGAAATGGACAATCCTGAATATTGCACTGTTTCCCCTGATTTGATTTTCCAATTGCTTCAGTCAAAAGGCACCTTGGCTATGATTAGATTTTTAGTCAACTTGCTCAGCAGTGCTTTTACACATCTCTAGAGCAGGCAGGATTTATTTCCAGGCCTCCTCGCTCGGAGACAGGGACACTACCACTGTGCCACAAGTGCTTTCTCAGTCCTGTATTATAATGGTTGTTCTTTTGATGTTGCCCTAGGTTAAACTATTAATCAAAGTTAAAATGATCCCGATATGCTTGCATTTTCTTGGTCAAAGTATTCGGGAAGGGTTAGGTTTCCATGGACATGTTGTTCTGATGGGAGGGGTGAGGAAGAGTTACATGCAGTCCCCAAGGTCTGCGGCCTGGACATCTGTGCTTGCTGCTCACTGATAAATCACACCGGGGCAGAGCTCTGAAACTGGGATCCGTGCAAGTGAACTGGACTGCCCCAGCAATGATGATGCAAGTGCTGGTGGCAATGGTCAACATAAAGACGTTTGGTGCTGACAAACGTTCCACAACTTTGGCAAATGCAACAAGGCATCTGATGGGTAAAAGGCAGAATGGCGCAAAAACCAAAGTGGAGAGGGGAGAGATAGAAAACGTGACACTCCTTCACCATTTCACTTGACCTATTGAGCTGATTTTATTTGGAGATTGCTTCAATGCCTACTTTGGGTGTGCGTTGTCAACCATTGTCACTTGTTCTGTCAGTGAGTTGGCTGGGCCAATGTTTATTGCCCATCTCTAATTGCCCTTGAGAAAGTGGTGGCGAGCTGTCTTCTTGAACCACTGCTATAGGTACACCCACGGTACTGTTAGCTAGGGAGAGAGTTCAAAGATTTTGACCCGGCGACAGTAAATGAATAGCGATTATAGTCCTTCACTGGATGAACAACACGCAGAAAGCATAGGTTTTCTGGATATCTAACAGTGCAATATCAGCTTCTTTGCCTTTTGTGCTGCTAACATTCATTAAACATGTTTCCTGTGAGCACTCTGAGCTCACCCTCTGTTCTAGTCCCCTTGTTTTTACTGTGCTGAAACCAGAGAAATTAATCTGGAGACAATCTTATTGACATTTGAGTGTATAATACCATAAGCCCCACGGTCACTTGGGTCTTTAATACTTAGCATTGCAGCCAATAGTAGATCTGTATTTGACTCCACTCCAATTATCCAAAACCTGTAGCAATCCAGAAATGTAACATCCCTTTTATCTTCCACTGCACACAGATCCAGCCCTAAACAGAGCAGTGAGCTAAAGAGGAATGTTAGCTCACTGCTTTCCAGTCCTGAATTTGTTGGTTTTGCTCCAAGTTGGCAATAGATTGAAGCAGTTACCTCATGTAAACACGAGATTTATATACGTGGATGGCCAAAAGATCATGAAGCAGGGATTCTTTATTCCACTGGCATCAGGTCATTGCAAACATGAAGGGAAATTAAGGCTAGACACAGAAGACTATTTATACGGAATTAAACCTGTGGTTTACAACTAGTTATTGGTCTGAACCTTCACTGAGGCTGCCTTGCCCCTAGGACCCCTGTCCTCCAGAGAGGGTCTATTCGACTGCTTGAGCTGCCCTGCTCTGTGGCCTCTGTCACTATTTTTGTTCTTCTTTATTCATTCATGGGATGATGGCATTGCTGGCTAGGTCAGCATTTATTGCCCATCCCTAATTGCCCAGAGGGCAGTTAAGAGTCAACCACATTGCTGTGGGTCTGCAGTCACATGTAGGCCAGACCAGGTAAGGATGGCAGTTTCCTCCCCAATCAGTGAACCAGTGTTTTTCCTGACAATCGGCAATGGATTTGCAGTCATCATAAGATTCTCAATTCCAGATATTTATTCAATTCAAATTCCACCACCTGCTGCAATGGGATTCGAACCCAGGTCCCCAGAATGTTATCTGGGTCTCTGGATTAACAGTCTAGCAATAATACCACTAGGCCATCGCCTCCCCTTTGCTATTGTCATGTGCTGTGGGAGGTTCCATTCCACTTGGCAGCAAACCATGAAAGTGCTGATTGCGGGGCTATGGGAAAATAGCATGGGAGTGGTTAGCTCCTTCAAAGGGCCAGCAGGATTATGATGGGGTTAATGGCCACATTTCAGCTACATGGAGCTATAATTCTACCTACAAACTTTTGAAGGCTGTGGGGTACAAATTCAACATCCTTTCACTTTCCCTTCATGAACATGTTGCCCCTTGTTTGTAAATTCCATGTTGCCTGTCGCTGTTTTGGTTGCTTGCCCAGAGGATTATTCGATCTCAGCCGATAGCTGAATGCCAACAAGGCAATAAAGCACTGCAGCTGAGCCCAAACGATCCGCACCAGCTTTCAAACATGTGTCGTTTTCAACAGGCTGTCACCAACTTCTAATCAGGATTCGGATCAGAACTCTTGTTGATACCTTCATCTGAGGGAACTGCTGCCAACTTCAGCATTCCAGCTGGCTTCTGCTAACCCAGCTCGAGTCAAAACGTTGTAGGTTCAAGTCCCAATCCACAGACTTGCTCACAGGATCCAAGCTTACTCATCAGCAAATAGTACAGAGTGAAGGACGCACAGTTGCAAATTCAGATGAGATGTTAAAAGAGGCCACATCTGTCTTCTCAGATGTAAAATGGCACTAACCTGAAAAGGACAAAAGGAGTCCTCCCCACAGTTCAGGTTAATATTCATTGCTTAAACAACGCCGACAAACTGGAATTAGCCAATCCTTGCTGTTTGTGGGAGCCTGCTGTGCCCAAATTTCCCACATTACAACAGAGACTACGCTTCAAAAATGCTTCATTGGTGTAAAGTACATGACAGACATTGTATAAATTCAACCTATCCTCACAGTCACAGAGTCATACAGCACAGAAATAGCCCAACCCATCCATGCCGACCAGATTTGCTCAACCGAACTAGTCCCACTGGCCCATATCCCTCTAAACCTTTCCTATTCATGTACCTGTCTATATGTTGCTTAAATATTGTGGAGGTGCCGGTGTTGGACTGGGGTAGACAAAGTCAGAAATCACACGACACCAGGTTATAGTCCAACAGGTTTATTTGAAATCACAAGCTTTCGGAGCACTGCTCCTTGGTCAGGGAAGGAGCACTTCACCTGATGAAGGGGCTACACTCCGAAAGCTTGTAATTTCAAATAAACCTGTTGGACTATAACCTAGTGCCATGCAGCTGCTGTCCTTGTTTAAACGCTGTAATTGAAATTTCAGATTACCAGCATCTGCAGTTCTTTCTTTTGTAAGTGTTTGCTTCAAAGAGGAACTTCTGTTCACAAAGATTCCCTCCTTTAGAGAGAAAAAAAACAGTCCCTGATTAAGGCCACCTTCAAAGTTCTTTACTTTCCCTTTCCTACCACAGATTTCCATTACTACTTTTCTTCAAACAGTTGACAGCTTCCTCTACCACTTCGTCTGGCAGCTCATTCCGTACACGTACCAGCGTCTGTGTGAAAAAGTTGCCCCTTATGTCCCTTTTAAATCTGTCCCCTTTCACCTTAAACCGTCACCCTCTAGTTTTGGACTCCCCTACCCTGGGGAAAAGACCTTTTGCTATCCACCTTATCAATGCTCCTTGTGATTTTATAAACTTCTATGAGGTCACCCCTCAGCCTCCTAAGCTACAAGTGAAAAAAGCCCCAGTCTATCCAATCTCTTCTTATAACTCAAACCCTCCAGTCTTGTAAATCATTTTTTGCATCCTTTCCGTTTAATAACATCATCCTGTAACATTCCACAGAATTATTTTGAAGGGGCTTTCTCCTTAGTATTCTCTTCAATATGTATCCCTCAATTAATATTGCTTAAAAAAATGGTCATTATTGATCTTATTGTGTACACATTGGCAGGTATCTTCCTTCCATTACAGCAGAGACTACTGTGTTGAAATACTGGATAGATAAATCTAAGTCCTTCTGTCTTTTGTATTTATCTGCTCAGCCTTGTGAGAGTTGGGGCAGCCCAATTAAGAAGCAAGGTGAATATCCTTTTACTTCATGTTTATCACCACTTTGCATACAAAGATTACCCTGAGTAATGTCAGTACTCATGTTGCAAACAGATGAAGCACTTTGGGCTATTGCCCAGGGTTGCTGAGTTCACTTTTACTGCCAGGGTAAAAGCAAAA